CGTGCTGCATCCTGCGCGTTATGGTGCTGTAACTGCAGTGCAAATGCAAAGGCAACCACAGCACAAACGCACCGTACAGCCCACCCCGACTCTGCTGCCAAGCAACATTTTTATTACAAAGGGGAACTTTTATGATGAAAAAGCATATTTCCTCTTTATACTATTTCCTCACTTTTAGTTAACAGCTTTTATTCTACAAAGTCTGTTTTAATCTCAGTTACAGATCATTCACCCTGCATGCCACATCTAAGCTTCTCCAGCCTTGAAAAGTTGTGTGGGGTTTAAACTCATGCAGAGTTTTTAACTGAGCTATGCCTAATGTCCCGTGTTTTGAGTTAAACTCAAGCATGCTCATGTATCCTGAAGCACAGTGTGCTTGCCAGGCAGAGTTCGACACTGATACTACAACATCACTGATTTATTTTGTTGTTATTCCAAGCCAAACACAGCTATCCTGGCTGGGGCCCATTATCTTATGACCTTCATGGGCTTCAGAAAGGTTTTGAACTTTCTGAAAGATATTACCCTCTTAGGAGCAGCTGAAACAGCCCCTTTCACTCTTCATCCAGTGCCTCAGGTGTGGCTATTTCAATTCCTGGTGAACACAATGGCAGACATATTTTTGAGGGTCAAACCTTAGATCTTTCTAGAAATGAGGGAGATTTGAAATCTCATCTTTAAGTTGCAGGGGCTCCCAGATGTCTAAATACATTCAAGGCAGTAGTGGTGTCCTTCTGAACCCCAGAAGGCAAGAGCAAGCTGGAGACTTTTGAGGCCAACATCTTTCGAGCTATGAGTGATGGCAGCGCGGCACGTAGTCATACAGCTGATTACAGCTTAGAAACTGCAAAACGCAGGCATAGGTAAAAGAAGGTCTTGCACAATTTCAGAGGGAATACTGTAGAGAATGGCAAAACCCTGCTCTATGTCTACCATCTGCTATAAACCCCATTTTATCTGTCGTATATTTAAGCAAATCTCCCTGCTGGCTTTTCAGTGGGCAGAGGCTGTGCAATATCTAAACCAATATGCTAGGTGCAGACTCACATGGTTATATTAACACCTGGTTCTTCAAGCATTGTCCTTGATGCACTGTGATGTTGAGCTCAAATGTAAATTTTCTCCAGTCTGATTTCTGCTGCTACTTCCAGACCTTTGCCTCATTATCACATGATGCCTTAAGGTCATGTTATCTTCCCCATGGACTGGGCCTACAGTGTCAATCAGGAATGCAAACTGAGGTTTTAATCAGTAGCAATCAACGAAAAAGAATGGAAGAGCAGCTGCTGGAGTTGAAATAACTTAGGGAACATCAGTCTCATCACTTTGCATAGCTTGTGTGTGATTCACTCTGTGACTGTGCTATCTCATGAACCAACCCCCCAAGAGGGCTGTGAAGTGACACCATTGGGCTTTTTGATCCTGAACCCTAAAGACAGGAAAAGTAAGGTTTCTGGCAAGCTGGAGCCTAAGGGCTAAACAATAGTAAGCAAGCAAATGGGCAGCCTGAGATATGATCCCTCAGCGTTCATGAGCTGCCTTTTGAGAAGGTACTGCCAGGCTAAGCAGTAGCTGGTGAAAGGGCTGGGATTCTTTTACCATGGCTCATGATGCTGCCAGTTCATCTCACCTGCAGTTTTGTATGGGCCCAGAAGGGAGGGCTGAATAGATAGCATGTTCCTACTCAAAGGAAACCCCCTCTCCCCTGCCCTCAAAAAGCCAAGGAACCTGAACCTCGTGTCTGTGCACAATATAATGCAATATTTTACATAGTTTAATTCTATTTAGCAAGGAAGGGAGGAAAAAAGTATTAATATTTAGAAGCATTGACAGTAGAAAAAAGGTAGGAGGATGAAATGGGGAAAGGAATAACTAATTATCTGGCAATGAATTAATGTCTATATTCTGTGGTATCTACTACAACATTATCCAAACTAATTAAGAGTTTCTACTAGAACAATTCAGTGAAAGGTGGTTGTACTGGGTTGTGGTTAAGACACTATCTCAAGATAGGAGGACCTGTAGTCAGTTCCTGGTTCAGCCAAAGACTTTTAGGATGCTACCCAGTATGTTTGAATTCAAGGTCTCAAATCTCCTCGCTGTAAAAGAGTACGTGAGGAGATTACATTTCCCAAGTCCAAGACTATGGTGCGATTGATCCTAATTATGTTTGAGATCTCCAGTGGTGATACGGCCCATGGTAAATTTTACTGGCAAAGACCAGTTAAAGAGGGATGAAGACAGAGAATGCCAGGTCAGCAATACTGGACAAAGAGAGCTGTAACAGATTATTTCTAAGTAAAAATAAAGTATTTGCAGGAGCACTCTGATGCCAACAGGAGCATTACACAGCTTGTCTTCAGTAACACTCTCCTGTTGTAGAAAAGTCTAAGTCTCTGTACCTAGATTTAATTTAAAAAGCAATTTGCCCTTTTAAAGGAAGGGCTAAGGCTTGAAAACACATTTGCTGCATCCCAGCAAGTAGGTTCACTAATAACAAAAAAAACAAAACCAGATTTTTTGCATTAGAGAGAACACTTTATTATTTCTCTGACTAACATTCTTTGCTTTCTTTGGAGTCTTGCTGAAATGTTTTTGATTGCATACAAGTAGGAGATCAGTTGAAATAAGGCGTGTCATTGTTTCTCATCCCCGTTTATAGCTTTCAGTTGTTGCCAGGTCTGACATTCTTCTTTATGACTTCGGAACACTGTTTTGATTTTAAAGGGACACTATCAACAGAAACAACCGGAAAAGTTTGCATCCCATTCTTAAGGACATCTTACTGGGAGTTAGACATACTAAGTAGGGCATTTGAAAATGCCCAGCATTGGTCCTTTTTTTTTTTAAAAAAAAAATAGCGTGAGTTTCACAGAACTAAACCAATACTTGAGTATTTCCAAAAGACCTCTTCCTGATCTTTAGACTGCAGTTCTTCCTTCCTATGCTACTCTGTATTTAGGTTTATTCTTTGTATATTAATTTTGCCTACCACTAGTTTTTGAGCAGTAAAAGTAGACTTGTCCAGGTTTCCTGGTGTTTATTTGTTGATGACATATGCAGTGTTACTTGGGTTAACAAGTCAAAAGAAAAGGTTAGACTTTAATTGTCTGTTTTGTATCACATTTAAAAAAAAAACCCACCAAAACCACAATTTCCTCAGCACGCAGTGCTGTAAGCTCCCTTCCCCTGTGTTGTTTTTGGACCTGGAGTATTTTGAAAATGACATCTTAAAAAACCAAAAGTATTTTTAAAACCTCTTACTGGAATGCATTTGATTTGAGTTATTCAAAGCAAATGCAGAGGACTAACAGCCTTATGAAAATGATCTGTGATAGGAAAGCAGAGTTGTTTGCTTACCTGCCCAGGACATGTTCTGTTCTGCATGCACATGTGGGACTTCCTGGGAACCCTATGAGAACTATGTGCACCTACTAGCAGAATTTAGCTCCCAAATATGTTTGGACACAGTGCAATGTCACAATCCACTGGTTGTAAGTTTCTGGTAGGAGCAAGACCTTTGGCCAGGAGTGTTGATATTAAGAGACCTGATGATCTCTTCTGTGAGGTCCCTACTCAAAGGATTATGCATCCCCTTCTCGGTAAGAACAGCTGTAATAGCTCCTGTGCCAGCAGTTCAGCGTGGGGATACAGCATGGGCTCCGTTTGTGCAGGAAGGGTTGTAAACACATATGCCAAAGTCTTGGTTGCCATAAATGCAGCTGAGCTCCCTCATTTCAGAAGAGTAATGCCAGATCATGTCAGCTGATAATCCAATCCACAGGGTTTTATATATTTAAGTATGAATTTCCTGTTGGTTTAATGGACAATTTAACTACCGGTTTGTTGAGACAAATCTCGCTTACTAAAGGTATCAGATGGGGATTTTTAGTGCTTCTTTTCCCTCTCTGAGGACCATATCATGGGAACAGCCTTTAAGTGCTTAGGAATTTTTCTCCTCCTGTTACCTATTCCCACACGTGCAGACATAGTCCTTCAGTTACCACATTGCATGCAATTGTTGCAGGGAGGGTGACGATTTTAAGTAAGAGAATATGAAGCAGGATCAGAGGAATTCCTAAGCAGCACAGAGCCTTATCTCTTGTGTGTGTGTATCTGTTTCTTCAAATACAAAGGCAAGACTTGACCGCCTTTACTATATATAAACAGGATCATTTTGAAAATGCAATTTTCTTAAAATAATCACTGAATCACCAGCAACTAACTCTTCCACCAGTTAGCAGAGAATGATGGATCTAAGTTCAACCCAAAGTGTCTGAAACATCTTGGTTCTAGTTAAAACCCTTTCTGGACACGGTTATAAATTCCAACAGCAGTTTGAGGGAGGATAAGAGGAGCAAGGCATAACAAGACCTATATAAAATCAGTTTTGCTGCTGTTGCTGATGAGATCTCAAAGGAAAGAGGCTTACAAACCAGTGAGCACATGAATACAAGCAATACAAAAATATTAATTTTAACTTCATTGGTGCTTTCACAATGCAGGTAGTGAAACATCTTCTTGTGTATACTCATAGAGTCTAGAGATTCTTATTTAGCATGTGGGAAGGAACAAAAGGGTGAAAAATTACTGTGTCCTGAGCAGTGCACTTGATGCTTACCCACTGTAGAAAACTATTTGTATAAAACAGTCTGAAAAATATTTGCTGCCAATCAGCATTTCAAACCTCTGTGTATAAATGCCTGTTAGACTAAAGGCAGTCATCTGAAGCTCTGACTAGTGGTAAACCTGGATGAAACTTCACCTCAGACATCCTGAAGAATCCATTTTGGTTATTCTTATATTGAAATATACAGTGACAACAGGTGATTAGGATTAAAAACACAAACCAGCTATCCTCTGGTCACTCAAGTCTTATACAAAATCAGCCTCTTTTTTCTGAGCTGCTTCCTGGTTCATGATGGCAACCCAACGGCGTGAAGATAGTTACATTAATTGATGTATGATCTCATTTGTCTTGAGCGGTGTTATGATCTAATTCAATCTTTTAGTGAGTTATAGGCTTTTGTGGTCCGGGAGTTGATGAAATCTGCCTTCTTAAAGTCAGCCTTTGGAAGGAAAGAAACAGAATAATTCATTACTTTCAGTGCTGATTCTGCAAAGGAATGGTGGGTTAAGCTGTCTAAAAGCTAGGTATGGAGCCATGGAAGGGGTACAGGCAGAGTCCTCTGCATTCAACAGAGACAGAACAGGCATCTCCCACGAGTGACTCAGTTCAGTCTAAGATAGGTGAGATGAATCATTGGAGTTGCTTAACTCTCTCCACTGACTGTAAGGAAAGCCTATTCTTTTAGCTCAGCTCTATGGAATTCTAACTCTTAGGTGACTAATGTCAGCTGAGATTAACCCTCTCTGAACAAAGAGTACAGGGCAATGCCAAAATGACTCAGGCTTTTAACAGTCTCATTTGATCAAGTGATTTCTGTTGCTTATGAAACTGACTTTTCAAAAACGTCTAGGCATTAGGTAGCCTGCAGTTTTCAGTGCTGCACCTGACATCTCCGGGGATTTTTTGAAACTCAGATCCAACAAATGTCTTATAGGCATAACCAAACACCAGTGACTTCAGAAAATTCATGCCATCAGGGATACTGCTGTACAGTGAAGTCAGGAATGTAGCTGCAAAAAAACCCAGAGACAACAAAATCCAGTTAAAGTTTTTATGGGTACAGCATCCTTATTCTTGAACGCAGATTTCTGGTTTGTGGGGCAGTATACTGCTGAGTGTGATGCAAGACTGTTAAAGGATACTACACTAAGTAACTTCTTTTGAGCAAATTTCAGCAAAAAATCTACAAGAAGAAACAAGCTGACTAATAAATGCTAAAGGCTGGATCTTGAAAAAATGGAATAGTTTTAGATAATAGGGAATTTTAGGTGATAGAAATTCTGAACGGCAAGAAAATAAGGAATGAAACCAGTTTGAAATGTAGGTTGAAGTCAGCCCATATGTGTGTTGAAAAAGCAGTCATAGAGCTTCAAAAGGAAGGAAATAAGCTGGTTTGTTGGCTGATTCATGCTGTTCCTTTTTTTGTTTGATTTTGACTGTGGCAGTAAAGGTTTGCCAACACCTTTCCCAGGCCCTCCCTTTTTGTCTGAATATAACTAACACCTGAGCTCGCAGACCATGCAAATGACAAGGAGAAAAAAACTGCACTGGTTTTAAAGTGAGAGGCTGCCTTGCCCTGCCTTTGCTTTTGCTGGCACCTTAAGCCCTCTGTGTCAGATTGGTTCGGTCAGTGGTGGACGGACACCTCCTGCGCATCACGTCTCACCATCTGAGATGTCTGGCAGGCAGCAGTCGCGTTTTTATAAACTTTGCCAGTGGATATGAAAATATTTTCTCCTCAGAGGGAGAGAATGCAAACACAGATGAGCAAAAACTAAGGGCATGTGTTACTTGTGCAGGATTACATAGAAGAAATAGAAGCATCAAATTCAGAGACCACTTGAAATCCTATCACAGATTGATTCTTAACAGTGCAGAAGTGCTAAGGGCCCCGGAGGACAAACGAGAGGCCTCTAGGTCCAACGGGACAGATTACACGTCTTTGCTCTAACCCGGATCTTACCTTTTTGTAAGCACTGTGCAGATCGGTGTGTGACCACAAGGAGTAGAGGAGGACTGAAGCAGCCCTGCTGGCTTTGCTGAACATATTACTGCAATTTTGGGAAAAGAATGATAAAATGTGCTTAAATTCCCACTTCATAATCACAGTGCACGTGCAGACTTCAGCAAACATAACCTCGTAGCACTTTCTCTCTCTCCTCTTAAATGCTGTTTTACTGCTCTTCAGGTATTCTAGCACATTTCATGCTGTCCTGACTACTGAAACAAATGCAACACACCTCCCTGCTTCACTTATTCTTGAAAATCAGAGAGAAATGAAGTACTCTATAACCTTCCTCTTAGAGCAGCTATCATACTGTTCATATTCAGTTGAGGAAAATACACCTCAACATAAAAAGCATTCAAAAGGATCTTTCTAGCAGGTAAAATCTCTGGTTAGTCAGATAGAATTTAAACTGTTTAGAGCTTCATGAGGCCTCCTTTACTGAGATTAATTTCCTCTTTCATTTTGTAAAAAGAGAGGAAGGCAAACAGAATAATTATTCATATTCACAAAGCATTAATTATTCTCTTTTGAGTAAACAATAGTTGCATGTGATTACATATTAAATAATGAGTAAAGGAAATTCAACATCTATTATCTAAAATGCCCCTTTATAAATAATTTTTAAGTACAGTTCTATCAGCTCTGTAAAATGTATCTCTGCATTTTTCTGCTAAAGATTATCAGGGCTGTGTTACAAAGAACAGGAAATAAATACAGAAACTTTTTGGGGACAGATAAGATCTGATACTCAGCCACTGTATATATTAGAATATAGATAATATTGTGCCATCATCTTCTGAGGAACTATTTAAAATGCTGGAACACAGCAAATTTAGCTGCGGATGGAACAGCTGTTGTAAGAGATTTTTCTGTGTTTCCCAATATGTGCAATTCCATTCACATCACAGTCACTTGTTTAAGCTGTCCTGTACCTTAAGATGTCGTGTTTTCCCCTCCTCAGGTAGCAGAGGTTGCAGCGTATTTTTTCCCCAGAGAAAGGAGGAGGTGGGGGGGGAGGCTTCTCAACCATCTTACCTGTCATTCATGCTGATGGCAATAATCTTCGGTAGGCCATGAGCGCTCAGGAGAAGCCGTGCGTTGTGAGAGCTGCTCTGTGTCAAATTGTACAAGGTGTAGCAGATGGACGCCGTGGTTTCAGCAACAGTATCAGACCCCTGGGCAGACTCAGGAAGTATCGAGATCAAATCAGGCAAAACTTCTCTAGCTACAAGTTGAAAGAGAGACAAATAACTCATTACTAACAGGTGCAGATTTATCTGGGGGTCCTACAAGACCTTGCTCCTCCCATTATGACCTATCAGGGTGCTGTGTGCTCCCACAACAGCGTTATGGTTTCAAACCTGCATTATGTCCCCACAATTTAGGTTAAGCTGCGTCCGCACTAAATTGGATGGTATGTATTTTGCCTCTTGTATGCAATACTGTACTGTAGTGACGTCACTAGGCAAGTGCTAGCAGCAGGCTGCCACTTACCAAGGAACCCTATGTACCCTATAGGTAATCATGGGTATAGAGATATACAGCAAACTGAGAAAGGGTGACTACAGCACCATTTTTACTGCTGAACTTCTCAATAGTTGGCTATAAGGGAATGTGCACACTCAGCCTTCTGAGCTGGTGTGCAAGCTATCTATTTAAGAAGAATGTCCTATTCTGAAGTTTGTCCCTACTCAAGAAACACTGCTTTGACCACACTGGATGCGACCCTATCAGCTGACCAAACAGCAGCTCTGGACAGCAACTGAGTCCTACCGTACACTGTGAGATCCGTGCCGTGTGGACAAGAGCTGACGGAGAAAATTCAAGGAAGAGGTCGTAGCCAGATGCTCCACTGTAAGAAGGAGCACTGGGCAATAGTTTGGGGCACTTGGGGCCATTCTCCCCTCCGTAATCAGTGTTTAACTTGGACAGAGTGTTTTGCTCTCTGTGAATTATGTTTGTTCTTCCAGATAGGTGTGTGACAAGATTCATGCATATTGAGATTAAATTACATGCAATTTAGAAAAAGAGCTTTAAAACTGGTTGAATGACCTACTATGATATGTATCAGTCAAAGCAGTTATGTCAGGCATGATAGCCCATTGTTTCTTCCATTGGTAAATCAAGGAAGACGATTTTTAGAAAGTACACATTTGGCAGTGTCTTGAAAATATCTGTTCAGAACAAATTTATTTTTTTCAAGTAAAACTGTAAATTTTCTGATTTTTTCCAATCATTTAACTTTTAGAGATGTTTTATGTTAAATTAATCGCAATTTCATATCACAGGTTCATTTTGCTTGATAATATAGACATTTTATCTAGGAAACAGTATGCCTTTCCAAATATTTTCCTTTGGCCCAAATTACTTGGAGAATTTGACCTGAATTCACGTATATTTTTAGTCAACCAAAAAGAACAACTTTACATGGAGAAAAGGTTCACCTGAATTTCCCCCAGTTCTTCCTTCCATGGGTAAAGCAAGAAAATGACAGTGGATGTGCAAAACGAAGCACCTTTCTCCAAAGCTTCATGCTATTCTGTCTTTCCCACATTCCTTCATAAAATATTTTCCTGATGAAAACCCATTTTCTTCTTCTCAGAATAATTCCTACTCTTTCTGGGGGATTCACCACTTGTAATTTTTAACATCATACGGATTATCCCTTTGAAATCAGCCTAACAACATATGATAATATTTTCATCAATAGGGAGTGTTGTCCAAGGATTAAACAGTGCCCAGGAGGCTGTTCCGCAGAATTCTGAAGATTAATCTGCCCCATGAACCAGCTGTATGCCTGTAATTTCCCCTTCCCTCTCTGGTGGGAACACAGAAAAGGACAACAAATGATATGAATTTATTTTAGCCTATCAGTAGGAAAAAATTTCAAATATAAACTAAATACGCTGAATCAAAATAGCTTCTGATGTGAAAATAATTGACATTTTAGGAATAAGGTCCTCCAAAAAATTTTGAACTATTTTCTTTATAGCATCTTCTAGCTTCCATTGTCAAAAAACTTACGCAAGAAAACTGCGTGAGCTGCAAGCTTCCAAAGATTTGTGTCTAAACCAAGAAAATGCTATTTTCACCAGAAGAATTGGAGATATTCTATAATTTCTCCCAAAGAATTACAAAGCTCTGGCAGCACAGAACTCAGCACTCACCTTCCTTTACCTTATTTTAAGCAGAAGAAAAACTCCCGCTCCAAATCTGTACAGATTTTACTTCCATTATGTATTTTCTGAAGATAACATAAATGGAAATATCTGATGAGGACTACACAATTTAGAGAAAACTTAAGGTTAGAGCTTTTCTTAGGCAAAAGTCTTTATTTTCAGCCCTGTGTAATGACTGCAAGGATCTGACCTAAAAACCCACTTTTTTTTTTTTTTTTTTTGCATTTTTTTATTTAAAGAAGGAAAGCTTAGTGTAAAGAGAACAGAGAAAGCAAGCCCAAGGGACAATGTTAGTCTTCGCTCACCTATATCACTTTGCAGAGAGGGGTTGCGAGACAAGTTCCTGAGCAGGGAGACCGCTGTCTTCTTTACTGTCGGGTGGCTTACATGCAGTATAGTTCGAATACTTGGAAGGCCATTCGCCTTCTGAACAACAGTCCGGGCCACCGCAAACGGCATCTGTTATAAGGCATGTGGGAAAAGTGTGTCATTACCAGGAATGTACAGCCTCCTAAACAAATGCAGCATCTCTACATCAGTTCTCTACATCTACAGTCATCTACATCTCTACATCAGCATCTTCTCTACATCAGTTTAAGCATGTTTAAAACAGTTTAAATCCAGAGCTACGTATGAGCTGCAACAGAAAAGCAAGGTGATATAAAAGAAGTTTCGAGCCCTCTTTCTCCCAGGTGCTCTTTGGCCAGTTCCTCAGCCAAAACATGACAGACGTCATTAGTTTCTTCACCATGAAAGTGATCTGTGGTTGTGTCAGAGTGTCCCTCTCCCCATGGGACTGATTATGTTCCACAAAACCACTTTTATTTTGTGCTTTTAACATCTACTTATCCCTCATTGTGCAATAAATAGGCAAAATTCCACATGTGGAGATGTACAAGGAGTGAGAAGAAGCAGTCCCCATATTTGCCAAGCAAGAAATAGCTGCACTGCCAGTTATGATTTTTCCTTCAATGTTCTTCAATTTCCTTGATCACATCTGTGAGGTAGTGACTTGTCAGTGGTTACCTGATCTCAGTGCTGTAGGTGTGTTGCACTCCAGCCCTAAACTCTGTGCATTCATATTAAGAATTAAATGACAAGAAAAAGAAAAAAGCTGACTTACTGGTCCAGTGCCAGCTGTGAGGTTCTGAAGAGCTCCCAGGGATGCTTCCTGGGTATAGTTTCTGGTACTCTTTGCTATTAAGGAGAGATATATCCTAATCAGTGTGGAATGCCAGAGCGATTCAATACCTCTGGGATTGCTCTTTTCCTCAGGTAGTGGGGTGTCCTGCTGCTTCTAAACATGTAAACAGATCAAGCCTTTAGAAACAGTGACCTTATATGACTTAATACATCACAAGCTAAACTAGCCATTTTGTAACTCTCTATGACCAGATTATTTGCAGATTATCAAACTATTAACTCAAATGACAACGCACAAAATTTCAATATTTATAATGGCCACTCCATCCAAAAAGAGGAGATAGATATTGGAGAAGCTGCTTCTCATCTCTCAGCAACTAACAATAGGGGCTGAGGCCAAGGAGAAACAGAAATGGCCAGCTAGAATTGTACTGTGGATGGAACCAGAGAAGGCAGAATATGCTACAGCAAAACTAATAGATGGGAATGGGTCATTAATCCTTTTCTTTCACTTTCCCTCTCCCTTGATATCTGTTTTCTCTCCAACAATTCCCAGTTGCCCGAATATTTGTGATCTGTACCACATGGCATCAAAAGAAGAGGTTGTGAGATAGCCCAAAAGTCAGCATGTCACGGAAGTGACAAGTCACCTTGTGCTGGTTTCACTGGTGGAACCATCACGACGCCCGCTTATTGGTAGGGCACTTGCACAATTGCAGTACATGGTACAGATACCATCAGAGCAGATGAAACTGAGTGATAGTATTCCCCAACTAATGAAACAATGAATTGCTGTGTCACTTTCACCATCAGCAGCTGAACAAGATATTGGGTATTAGGAAAGGCTATCAATACGTTTGCGGTTTTGGGGCAAGTACTACTAGATACATCAACAAGAGGTTGTTGAATAAATGACAGCCTTATTCTCCAGAAGTTGCTACAACAGATTAGCAAAACAAGATGTAACCAAACATGTGCTTTACCTCTTTTACTTTTCTGCTCCGTGTTCCAAAACAACCCGGTGTTTTATCGTTGCTAGAAATATTTCTTTTTTGCATATATATGCTCTGGGTATAGGTCTCAGGGAGCTCTATCTCTAGCTGGTAGGAAAGATTGTGAAGAATACACACAGAGTTCTCTGTGGCCTAAAATAACAAAAGAATAGAAAACTTGAAAGCTTTGACATGTGTTGAAGGGACATGTATAGACATGGGAAGAGCTTTCACTTTTGCGTCTTCAACAACTAACTGCAGAGCTTCTAATGGCTTACAGAAGAGCTAGTCTTTGTGCCAGTGATCCACAAGACTACATTTATCCTGATAAATTAAACATGCCCTGGGATGTTCCTGAGCACTGAGGCCAACTGACATGTAGGGCTTGCATTCGGAGAGGGGTCCATGCTTGTTGGAAATGATCCTGGGACATTATAATTCCTGAATTATGCCTGGGAATTGTTTGGGCGAGTGCTATTTGGCACAGACCAGAAGTGTGCCAAGGAATGTTTAAGAGCTTAAGAGTATAGACAATCACGTACACACCTCGCCGCAGCATCAGCAAAAGGAAAGCTTTCTATCTTTCCTAAGGAAGCACTTTTCTGTGGTAGAACGTTTTTTTTTTTAAATTAAGATGTGTCTTTCTGGGCATGGCTAAGGTCAGGTCTACAATTTCTGAGTGATGAGTCTAACAGCAAATAGCTTTATTACCAGTTCCTCCTCTTCTGAAAGTAAAAAAGGAATGAGTGGTTTTAAGACAAAATGCAGTAGGGAGCTATTGGCATACGTGTAATGTGCTGGATTCTCCCTGAAGCTAATGGCACTGAATACAGGGAGATGGAGAAGCTCAAGAATTAATCCTAGAACAGAGCTATAAATGTGCAGTAATTACCACGACACAGCACAAGTTATAGCAGGCACGCTAGAAGTGCCTCACGGGCTACAGCTAACCTCCTCATAAGCGACAGCTGGTCTTCTCACCCAACTTCACCCAGCTAAAAGGCAAATATCTAGTCTAAGCAATGTTCAGGGTTCATCTGCAGTCAACGTGGGTGAAAGAGAATGAGAGGAACTGGCTTCTGGAGGTGTCCATGTCCTTATAGTTACTGGCTTAGGTAGAATGTGTAACTTCTAAAAAACTTAGGAAAATCAATCTCATTCTAAATGACGCAAGCTCCTTAATTACACTGCCACCTAAAAAGATTTAGGTTCTCCATTTCCTAAAGGGTATATAGCACTAAATATACAGGAAAGTCATCAGCTTAATCTTTTAAGCTTCTAGCTAGCTCCCTGGGACAACTCAAAAGGTAATGTCTGACTCTTTGGATGTTTCAGTATCTCTGAAAGCTGTGACTTCATGTCACGTTTTAAAAAAAAAGAAGTTTCTAGCTCTTTCTGGTGATTCTGAAACTGTTTTCTTAAAGCTAAGGCATGTTATCCTTTTAGATTGCAGGATAAAAATCACTTCAGAAAGCTTCTTACTGGACTTCCGTCTTTGATGACAGTGCTAGAAGCCCTGGAAAGAAGTATAAGTTTGGCAATTACATCACAACTGTTTATGAACATTGGTCTCTAAACAAAAAATGTTCTCCTAGCAATTTCCCCTAGGAAAAGACCTTTAATCTCAAAGAATACCTTGTCATTAGGCTCGTGGTCTGCAATAGCTCCTTGAATATAATACACAAGAGAATCAATCAAGCCGTTGCATTCTCTCATCTTTTTCCTTCCTTCTGGGCCGGCAGAGCTCATGTTTCTGTGCAGGAAGGGATACATTGGTGAGAAGAGATTTAGTCAAAGATATTTCCCTGTGCTCCTCTGACAAATTTCTCCAGCTAAATCTTAAACATACTGAAGTTAAGGTTGACTGCTTCCTTTCTTCAGAGCTGTAAGATAATCTGAGCCTTTGCTAAGTAAAACTTCCACTTCAGTGCGTTCCCAGACAAAACCAAATACTCCAGAAAAAACAAACTGTTGTGTTTAGATGGATAAGGTAAGACCTCACTCAAATCTTCATCTCAAAGTTGAATTAATTCTTTTTAAACAGTCAAACAAACTGGACTTTTTTTCATTATCCCATCTGAAGTTATACTTTTAGTATTTAGGATAGTAGCTTTGTCAAGATATCAGAGGAAAGATACCTGTAAAAACTTCCATGCACACAAATATCCTTTAGCATTTATGAACACCAAACCAGTTTTTGACCCAAGATGACCCATCGACATGTTTTGAGAGTTTTAGCAACACTTGTGCATTAACACATAAAGATAACTGATGTCAGTTATGAGGACAAATTCAGATGTCAGTTCATTGCTCATGGGAATGCTTTGAAGGGTGCTAGAGAGCAGAAAGGGATGTGAATGCAGCTGAGTTGGTAGGTTGGAGCAGCAGCCTGGCCCCACCGCTGGGTGAGAGGCTGAGGAGATGAATCATGATGCAGCTGCCACTGCCATCGCTGTCTGACCAGCAGTGTGAGGATTATCACAGCATTATAGAATCATAGAATACCAGGTTGGAAGGGATCTCAAGGACCATCTGGTCCAACCTTTCTTTGCAAAAGCACAGCCTAGATGAGATGGTCCAGCACCCTGTCCAGCTGAATCTTAAATGTGTCCAATGTTGGGGAATCCATTATTTCCCTGGGGAGGTTATTCCAGTGGCTGATTGTTCTCTTTGTGAAAAATTTTCCACGTGTGTGCAATTGGAATCTCCCCAGGAGTAACTTGTACCTGTTACCACTTGTCTTTTTCATGTGACCCCTTGTAAAAAGGGAGTCATGTCTTCTTTGCAGCCACCCTTTAAATACTGGAACATGGTGATAAGGTCTCCCCTCAGCCTTCTTTTGTCAAGGCTGAACAAACCCAGTTCTCCCAGCCTTTCCTTACATGGTAGGCTTCCTAGTCCTTTGATCATCTTTGTGGCCCTTCTCTGGACCCTCTCCAACATGTCCACATCTTTTTTGTATAGCGGGGACCAAAACTGAACACAGTATTCCAGACGCGCCTGACAAGTGCTGAGTAGAGTGGGATAATGACTCCTTCATCTCTGCTGGTGATGTCCTTGTTGATGGAACCCAGCATCCTGTTGGCTTGCTTTGCAGCAGCAGCACACTGTTCACTCTTAGTGAGCTTGTTGTCCACCAGAACTCCTAGGTCCCATTTCACAGAGCTGCTTCCCAGCTGGGTAGATCCCAGCCTGTGCTGTGCTCCTGGATTATGTTTTCCCAGGTGCCAGACCTTGCACTTGTCATTGCTGAACTTCATAAGGTTCTTGTTAGCTCACTCTTCCAGTCTATTCAGGTCTTCCTGCAGGGTGGCTCTCCCTTGCAAAGTGTCCACTCTCCTGCTTGGTTTGGTATCGTCAAAAAGCTTCATGAGGGTACACTTGATACCATTATCCTGATAGCTTATGAAGATATTAAACAGCATTGAGTCCAGTATTGATCCCTGGGGGACCCCACTTGTGACAGGGTGCCTGTTTGAAAAGGAGCTATTTACCACCACCCTCTGGGTGCAGCCTGTCAGCTGGTTCCCCACCCACCACACAGACCGCTTGTCTAGACTGTAACACATCAGTTTCTCTAGAAGGAGGCTGTAGGAAACTGTATCGAAAGCCTTGGAGAAGTCTAGGTAGACAATGTCCACCACTTGCCTCACATCAACTGAGTAGGTTACTTTGTCATGGAAGGCGATGAGGTTTGACAAGCATGATTTGCCCCTGGTGAGTTTGTGCTGGCTCTGTGCTGGCTTTTCCCAACCGTGTGCTTCATTTGACTTGTGATAAACCCCAGAAGGATTTGTTCCATAACTTTCCCAGTGACTGAAGTAAGACCAATGGGCCTATAATATCCTGGATCCTCTGTTAAGCCCTTATTGTAAATGGAGGTGACATTAGCCTTCTTCCAGTCTTCTGGGATGTCCCCTGCTCTCCATGACTTCTCAAAGATTGTGGAAAGCGGCATGACAATGATGTTAGCCAGCTCTCTGAACATCCTTGGGTGGATAACATCAGAGCCCATTGATCTGTAGGGGTCGAGCTCCTGTACTAGTTCACATACCATCCTCACTGACGGTGGGTCTGTGTTTGCATCAACCTGGGTTTTCTTTCCCAAGGCCTGGGGCCCACCAGTGCTGGTAAAGACAGAGGGCCTTTGTAGCTCTCAATGGGTATTCATCCACTTTTCCATCTCTGGTACGCTTCTCTCAGTTCTGAGTGGACTCAGAAGCTTGCAGTTAAGCCAAGGGGGTCTCTTGCTCCCCCTACTTCCCTTACCTCTCAAGAAGTTTTTGTGCTTCCAGGAGATCATTCTTGAAAAATTATGAAACGCACAGGGAAGTGGGTTTTTTTTTAAATTATTTTTTTAAAAAATAATTATTTTTCCTTAAGAGGAAAAAATACACCATGCTCTGCTGAATCCCAGCTTCACAGAGAAACTGCTGGCATCTAAGCAGAAAAAAGCTGAAGCCACCAGAAGCTGCTCAGTCAGAGGGAAAAGTCAGATGCCTTCTGCAGATGCCTTCTGCTGTTCTACCACAGTGGCTCGGACACAGCTCCACACGCTTTCTCCTTCCTCCAGACCCAAAGGAAGCCACTTTTCCCCCAGCTTTCAAGTAACATTTTCTGTGCTTTGTGGTAACCCACGTACGACTTGACAATGACTTATGAAAGTGATTCAAAAAAACTCTTGAAAAGCCAAACACACACTTCCTGCTTGAAGTTTGGCTCTAAATAAGCTACTGATTTCCAGGGAAGTTACAACACTTATAATTTTGAAGTATTATTAATTTTACAACTGAACAAACTCTGAATTATGGAATGCTGGAATTATAAACCTAGGCCTCATTATTTTGGACTCCTGCAGCTGTGCTGGCCAAAAGGCCACACACAGTATCACATTCCAGCTTCTTTGTTTGAAATAATATTAAATATAACCCAGTCTTAGCATCCACCACAAATGGAGGGACATGTTCCTTTAGATAGTTTCAGGGTGTTTATTTTGCTTGCTAACTTTACCCACTGGAAATTACAATGGTTTAAAATTTTATTAACAGCAAATCCAGTGAGGAACAGCTTTAAACTTTCCTGTGGCTTATGACTGTAAAATGAATGTAGCATTTTATATACTGTCAATGCAGTTGTTCTGTTCTTTTCCCCTGGGAAGTACATATTCAGATTAAATACTAATGCATCGTAATTATAGTTTTACTTTAGGTCATGCTGTTAACAATATCCTTATTTATGAGTTCATTTATTCTCATGAAATTATATATCGCATAATTAATATTCAGATTCCTCAATATGGCCTACTATAGACATCACTTTGGAGTTTACTTTTACCTATATAAGTCACATTCGAGGCATGTCACCCTTTCATACGTTTATGGTTATACTGACAGAAATGTACATGCTACAGCCCTTCTAGCACATAGCAAAAATAGTTTGAGGCACACAGACTAAAAATACTGTTAAAAGATAAGTGTGGAATTTGCATCGCCAAAGACACTTCAGCTGATACAGTATTTCACTTTGTCGCAGTACATCATTCTAAAAATCCCTGAACTTTTGACAGCTACAATCATGCTGAATGGCTGTGCAAGGAGAGGCCATCCCCTGGCCTTGATGTCTAGCATGAATATGGTGGGGCACACAGCTTTATAGCTCAGGAGGCAGAGAAGAGCCCGAATCACAGGCACTGTCCTGTTCTGCAAAGGAAACTAATTACTGAATTCTGTTTCATTAAGAAACTGATGCTCAGCTGTTCATCCAGACATACCAGCGTGTGTCTGTATGTGCGTCTGTACATATATGGCCACTCCATTCTCCACCTTTCCCTGTTTCCTCATCATTGCAACACGGACTGGGAAGGGAAGAGCTCCTGCTCTCCCACTTGCCCAACTGCAGTTGTAACCACCTTACTCTGAATAGGGTCAGAGTTGGTTTGAAGGCAGAGAAGATCTTGTATTTCAGGCAAAACCTCAGCTGGCAGTTTAAGTTTGTTTGCTAATTAAAGCTTGAGGAATTCCAGGAAATAAAAATATTATTAGATTGGGAAAAAAAATAAATGTTTCTGAGAAGTGTCACAGAAACATTTTTTTTTTTTTAAATTGAAACAATGGCAACATTTTGCTTAGAAAATTGCAAAACTGACTTCATGTTGGCTTCCTAAGATTTGAGGTTCATGACAACTGGAATGCCTCCCTCTAGGCTCAAGAGTTGGGCTCTCTTGTAGTGGAGCTCTTGGAGGCCCTGAAATACCCAGCGCTTGGGCAACTGCTGTGGTTGGGCTGGCCCAATATTGTGGCTCATGACAACTCCCATGGTGAGACTTCAGGGCTATCTAGAAATCTTCAAATCTGCTGTGTGACTTTGGTTTACTGGTGTTTCATCAGAAATACACTGAGATAAATACATCTGTGGAAAAAAAGATCAGCTGGAGTCAAGATCAAGAGTCTTCTCATAGGAAAACTCTTCTGCTACACAGTTCCTGATATCTCTACCCTGCATTGATATTGAATGGTTGGGAGAATGCTGCACAGGGACAATGTGGCCTTAGGGCGACTGCTGCTTGTATAGATGCTCTCCTTTGAATGACTCAGAAATTACATTTTGGGATCATCTATTAAAAATCTCTGACTTCTGGCATGCTTCAATATGCTAATCCTGCTGACATGCCCAAACTATACCACATGATAATGCGGATGCATAGAATCTATCTACATGCCTTATTTATCTCATCCCATATTTGCTGCTTCTGTT